AACGAAATAATCGATATTTCAGATCCGGAAAAATCCACGTTCGAGTCTCGTCGTCGGGATCGATGTAAGGCAGAGAATGATAAATTTAATCCTGATCACTATATGTAATTAGAAAACTTCATTATTTTTTCACGTGGAATCTTGCATCTTTCTTGATATACTTTTTATTTCATGGAATAGCGCTGACTTTATGGGTGTTCAAGACATAAAACACTTATTAAAATACAAAACTGAATGGACAAAGAAACTTAAGCGGGCGCAACAGAACGACACAAATGGTACAAACAACACAGAAGTGAACAGTATGAATTTAAAGGGCGATAGTGAGAAGGTATATATTATTAGCATTTTTGACTATTTATATTAATAGAAATTGATGATATATTCCATGTCACAAAATTATTCCAGATTGAACAACTGGGTGCAATAAGACATCCAAACACAATAGGATTATCCGAGGTTGAAGATATAAGATTGACTACGGAAAATCATAAGAACAACATCAATGATGCTGAAGACATACTGAAATTCACGGAAAAAGAAAAATCAATGATGTTAAATTTACCGAATAAAGACTGTATGTAATTTATTGAGATCATCTTATTTTAGGAAAAGTAATAGGTTTATTAAAGTTCTGTTCTTACTTCAGATATTTTACAAGATGTAAAATCGATATATTTTGGACTTGCTGATTTATTGTTTGCGTATAGTTATAATCATAGAGTGTGCGAGGGTGAAACTACCGTGGAATCAGCTTGGACAATAGGAAAAATTAGCCCTACTATCTCTTGCCTCGAGGTATGTGTAGATTTTTTTAGTGTAGTACATATTGACACTCCCGAGTCAGTACTGGATATTGAGATAGTATAAACGGGGTTTGTTTGTTTTTTAGCGATTCACTACGCTCAGAGAAACAATCATCTCACTGTTTCGACGATCATTGGCATACCCGTGTTATCGAAACTTTGAATTATCCCAAAAGTGCCTCGAGGATGTATACGTTCTCATGAAGTTAGGGAGAAGAGCAATTTTGAAAGTGCTATTAGAAATGAAAGACATTTTTGATCATAGTGATGTCTATTACATCTATTCAAAGATATGGTTAGATGATTATTGCATATGGTGCCAAACTAAGGCTAGGTGAGTAATTCGTTTTTGTTGACTGCTGGATTTTTGGGATTTAATTTACCAAATTTTTCGATATGCAGCGATAAGGTAATTAGATCATTGGCACATCAGCTTCATCACTATAAGGTTTCGAAATCAGATATTGGATGGCATTTGGAAGAATACGAGCAATTGGCATTAGAAGATCAAACAATGGGTTAACATTTATTTTTGATGGCAATTGGGAAGTGTCATTTACAAATTCGCTATCAGAAATATTGGAATTTAATGGTCAAACAAAAAAGGGTTATTCATTGAATGCTATCAAGTTATCATTATTGGAAGTTCCAGTCCCATCCCTTTTGTATTGAGGAGGAACCTTTTCATTTACAATGCTTGTGCAAAATTTACACCTAACAGCATCTTTGGGAATTGAGGAATTGCACCATGGACATGATTCTGTTAGAGATTCTTCAATCTTCTTTTCTAATCCTTTGAGTTTGCTGTAAGCTGCGTATTTGTAAAGTCAAGATTGTCGGTATATTGAGATGGCATTGAATCTGAATTGAATTCATCAGCTATTAACATACCGTAAAATATCCAGAATAAAGTAAAGACCACAAAAA